CAATTTTTAATAAAAAAAATTTTTATTTTAATTTTTTTTTATATTAATTTAAAATTCTTTTTGTTTTTAGATTTTTCTTTTAAAAAAAAAAAATTTTAAAAAAAAAAAGTAAATTTTTATTTTTTATTAAATTATATATAATGCTAAATTTATTAAAAAATTTGTAAGAAAAATAAATTCAATTTATATTACATAATTCCCCTTAAATTTTACATTTATTTTTAATTTGAAAACATCATTTAAAAAAATTGAAATTAATTTTAAAAAATAAAATTTAATTTGAAAATTTGTAAACAAATAATTAAATTAAAAATTTTTATTATGAATTTAATAATTTTAATTTATTTTTATTTTCTTTTCAACTAATTAAATTGAAAAAAAATTTTATTCTATTTTATATTTTTTAAAATAAAAAAAATTGATGAATAAAAAAGTGATGAAATTTTTTTATATGAATAAAATTTTTTTTTTTTTTTAAATAGCTTTCAATCTTAAATTTTTTTGAAATAAATTTTCAAAATTAAAAAAAACCATTTATTTTTTTTCTTTAAATATGAAAAAAAAACTTGAAAAAAATTTAGCCCTTTTCAACTTTTCAAAAAAAATTTAAATGTAACTTTTTCTAAAATTAATTCATTTAGTGACAGCAGGGTTAAAATTAAATTTATTATTTTTTCAAATCCTTTAAAGAAAATTTTTGTTGAAATGTAAATTAATTTTAAAAATTTTTTATTATATATTTTAAAAGAAATTAATCAAAAATAAATGTCTGAATTTTTTATTCACAATTCTAAATTAATTTTTTTGAATTTTTTGTTTAATAATAAATTTAATGCTGTTATATAATTGAAAAATTTTTATTTATATATTAAATTTTTTTCAATTTAATTCAAAATTTCAAATGAATTTTTAAAAAAAATAAATTAAAAAAATTTAAAATTAAAACTGAATTTCTTTTATAATTTTCAAATATTTTTTTTTCCTTAAAATTTTAAATGAAAATCAAGTTTAAAAATTTTTAAAATTTTTCAAATGGTTTTAATTATAATAAAAAATTTTTTTTTTTTTTTATAAAAAATTTAAAACATAAAATTAAAACATCAAAAAAAATATTTATAAATTTTTTTAAAAATTTAATTAAATTTTAAATGTAAAAAAATGTTTAAAAAAAAAAAATTATGTTTTGTCTTTTTTTAATTTTTGATAAAAATTTAAATTAAAAACAATAAAATCAAAATTTTTTTAAAATGGAAATGCAATCAACTTTATTTTTTTGTTTTAAAAATAAAATGGACAATTTAAATTAAATTTAAAAATTTTTCAAGTCCATATAAATATTTATCATTTTTTTTGATAAAAATTTTCATGAACAATTCTATTTAAAAAAAATTTATTATTGTTAAAACTAGAAAATTGATTTAAATTATTCAAAAATCTTCAAAAATTTCAACAAAAACTAGAAATTATTGAACTAATTAAAAAATCATCCATAAAAAAATTATAAAATGAAAAAAAAAAATAAATTTTAAAAATATTCATATTTAATTTAAAATTAAAAAAAATGGGCTATTATTAAATTTTTATGAAAATCATTTATTATTCAATAAATTAAAAACTTCATTTTAAAATTTGATTATATTTTTTTAATTTTTTTTATTTTTTTATCATTTTTAAAATTTTTCTGCATAATTTTTTTTTTTGAAAATTATTCAAAAAAAAATTTTCTTTTTAAAAATTTCAAGAAATTTGCGTTTTTTTTTTTATAACTTATTTTTTTAAAAAAAAAATTTAACCAAAAAAAAAATTTTGCGCTAAAGCATATTCATTGGTCTAATATTAATTTATATTTAGCATAAATATTCCAATATATTTTATATATAAACACATATTAAAAATTCTTAGCTAAAATTAGAAGTCAATATAAATATAAAAAAAAAACAAATATGTGTGTGTGTAAAAGTGGACTGAAAAAGATGGCTTTATTGCATTTGAAGATGTGTTGGAGTAGAAAAAATGAAAATATTTTTAACTTTCTTCTCTAGTTTTGAATTTTTGTTACATATAATCTGACCAAATAAAGTCTCTCTTTCTCTTTATTTATTTACAACATATATATATCATATGTTTATATATAATAGGTTATTTTAAATGTGTCAAAAAAAAAGCAAGGCGTATCAATAAAATTGAGACAGAATGTCAGTATGTTAAAGAATGTGTGCATGTGTGAGAGAGAAAAAAGGTGATGGTATACATAAATGGGAGAACAGAGAAATGTATGGCATTTATTAAAAAATGGGAAAAATAAGAATGCAATGGAAACATCAGAGAGAAATGAAAATACAGTGCAATGGAAGCATCTAAAAGATAGAGACGTCATTAGAACCAAAAATTATAAGGGAAGTTTCTAATTTAATGTGTGTGTGTGTGTGTGTGTGTGACAAACAAGTATCCTTGCATATGAGAGGAGAAATAATTTCAAAAAGGAGATTTGTTGTTTTTGGAATCATCAGAAAGATCACATAAAATAAAGAATACAAAAAAATAACGCATCAAAAGAGAGTGCAAAGGAAAATTTTTTCCAAAAAGAGATTCTGTATAGGGAATCACTGAGAGAGAGAAAAAAAGATTTTTGGATGAATCAGAGAGAGAGAGAGAGTGTTTCGCAAAATGGTTGATTTGAGACTGCATCCGGATTTTTCTTGACAATTCAAAAAAAATAATGATGAAAATGAAATTTTTAATTAATGAACACAAATTTATCTTTTTTTTTGTATCTTAACATTCAATTCGTTTAGTTAGCAGAATAGTTTTCAGAAAATGCTTTAAATAGAAATTATAACAACACACACACACACACACACACATTATTTGCTTCAATGATATGCATGGACACACAAACACACACACATGCTTCATTGTCTTTCAATTGAGAAAGGCATAAAACTGCAAAGTGGTTTTTGCTATTTTGAGATAAAACGTTTTAGAAAAAACTAACCTAATTCTGAAATATACATAATCTTTTTTAAATTGTAAATATATGTGTGTGTATGCCTATGAACGGATACACACAAACACATGTGTGTGTGTGTATATATATATATATATATATATATATATATATATATATATATAATAAAAGTAGATACATAAATATTTATATTGGTATATTAATAAGTCTTAAAGATGAATAAAGAAAAAACATTTATTCTTTTTATAAACTTCCCTTTGTCAATGCATTTAATTTGGTGGTGAATATTAATCATAACTATTAAATATTATGCAGTCAAGATTTCAATTAAAAATTAAGTTAATGACCCATGAGAGACTAGTAAGTTATTAATCCCCCATTTCATGTGCAGTGTGTGTTTGTGTAAAAGATTTTGTGAGTAAGAGTTTCTTGATCAAGCCGAGAAATTTTCAGCACCTTGCACACACTGCACACACTGTTAGTACTGGATGCATTATGCTTAACCCTGAACATTAGTATACAAACACACACACATATATAAGACAACGATATATATTTTTATATATCAAGAACAGTATGGGGGAAATATGGTGGGTAATTAACTGATGAAATGGAAAATAGTTATTCAGTAGTCATTCAAATACCCTCCATTTGTTACATATATATAATTTATGTATCATATTTACTTGTGTTTATTATATATATGGGAGAATAGAAACAAAAAAGCATGGGGAAACTGTTCAAGATTGGCTAGACAACATGCCCAGATCTACAATATCAGAGAGAGAGAAAGAAAACAAATTTAAAAAAAAAACATCTCCCTAACTTTTGCCATATTCCATCAACAAAACATTAATTCGATGAAATCCTTCTGTCCTTCTACAGGAGGAAATGCGTTACACATTTTTCACACTTTGTCAAATATATATATATATATATATATATATATATATATATATAAGCAGTGTGGGTATAAAAAAATCAACAGTGCATGGTGACTGGCATTTTTACTCCTTAAGCCATTTTCGGACCATGTCTAGGGTCTGATAAAAAGAAAAATAGGTATATATATATATATATATATATATATATATATATAAGAAAATATGCATAGATTGACTGCCTGTAAGTTGTTTCCCTACTCAAGAAGGGATCCCAAAATCAATTCCGATGTTTGTTTAGATTTTTGAAAAAAGGTTGGGATTTTGGCTTGTGTGTGTGTGTGTGTGTGTGTGTGGGGGGATGCTGAAGACCTTGGGCAAACAATGCATGCTTTGTTGTTTGCTCTGTTTGAAATGTCAGTTTCTGCTGACGAGCAAAAACGAAAGGAGAATGAAAGAGAAAAAAGAAAGGAGAATGAAAGGAGAGTAAAAAGGAGAAAAAAAAGAAGAAGAAAAATAAAGAGAATGAAAAAAAGAAAAAAAAAAAAAGAAATGAAAATGAAAGAAAAAAAAAAAGAAAAATGAGAGAAGAGAAAATGTAATTAAAAGAGAAAAAGAGAGAAGAAGTGGCAATGAGGGGGCATGTCATTTACTTAAACAAGTTTGTGACAATAAGTGCATCTTGAAAAATTATTTCTATAGAAGCACTGTGAGCATCATAGGATTCATTCAAATGGCTTAAATATCTTGTAATCAAAACTTAGATGACTAGATTCAATATTAACAGTAAGAAGATGGTCGCCAGCAAAAGGGGTATCTCTCAAGTTGTAAGCTACATAGCAGGGTGAAAACCAATCGCATCATTTCCCAAAAAGTGATGGCAATTCCCAAATCATAAAGAAAAAGGAACCTCTGAAGTGGCATGACTGCCTACATAGTGAGGGAACATGTTAAGAAAAAAAATAAAAGTTTTGATACATAAACCAACAGAAAACATTGCTTCATAATGCCTGTAAAATTAAATCTCTTAGTGCACAGAGTAATGAGAGAGAGAAAGATGACTAAAAAAAGTATAAAGAGTAACCTGAGAGAGAGAGAGGAATTGAGGAAAAGTAGAGTAACGAGAGAGAGAGAGAGCTTAAGTGACTTTTTTAAGCATTATGGCAGCTGGATTGAGTGAAAGGAAGGAAAAGAGAACTAAAGAAAAAGAGAAAGAAGATAAAAGAAAAAAAGAAGAAAAGTGAAAAGAAACAAAGAGAAAAAAAGATAAAGAAAAAGTGAAAAGACAAGTGAGAAAGACAGACAGAAAGATGGTAAAAAGAAAAAAGGAAAAGAATGAAGAGGAAATGGAAAAGATAAAGAAAATGAAATATAAGGAAATGTGGAATAAAAGACAGAAAAAGAGAGAGAGAAAGAAAAAGAGAGAGAAATAGAAAAAGAAAGTAAAAAGAAAGAAAAAGAGAGGAGAGAAAAACAACAACAAAGAAAACAAGAAGAGAAGGAGAGAAAGTAAGAGAAAAGCACTTCTGGGAGATAATTTGGAGAAAGGTCACTTAAGCTCAATAGCAAATAAGGGTCAGAATCAGGTCACTCTTAGTTCCCCACCCCCTCTGCATTTTCCATTGGGACAGAACAATTATTCATAGTGGCGGCAGTCAGACCACGTGATTTAAACTAAAGGGTTTGTTAAAGGAAATTGTCTGAACTAGTTTTGTTAATAAACAAAATGTTTAAATAATTTGCAATTCATTACTATCAACAAAGCCAGTCATTGGTTGTCTTAAAGAAAAATCAAAATTCCATCATCCTTCACTTTATCATCATTACCAACTTGTATCAAAATAGTTAAAAAACCTGGGTGTGGATTTACCTGATTCTAATGATTGATTTACCTTCTCCTTTGGTCAATTAATATTAGATAGATATAATTCCACAGAAATTTAACTGGCAATCAAAAATGAAGTTCTTAAGTCGAAACTGCTCACAGTGGCCTTGAATTTCTCTCTCTATTTCTCTCTCTTTCTCTATTATATATGGAAAAAATGATATATAATTTTTTATATCAAAGAAAGAATACTAACAGGAAAATGTTTGACAAAGTTTTTCAAAAAGTTTTTTTGTGTGACGTGTTTATGTCCTGAGATTGGACTAAATCTTCAACTAAATTTAGTCTAATAAAAGTCTTAAACTAAATGTACCATCAAAACTTTTTTGGCAAGAATATATATATATATATATATATATATATATATAATGCTGTGTTTAAGTTAAAATCATCATTTTTTATTTATATTAAAAAAGCAAATACAGTTTTGAACAAAATTATATATATATATATATATATATATATATATATATATATATTATAAATTAACTGATTTAAAATTGTTTTTTTTTTTTCGACAGTAATAACCATGTTTGAAAAATGAAGATAAAAACTTTTAAATTTAATTATATAATTAAATTAAAAGCATTAGTTCCTCAACACCATTTTTAAAAGAATATTGAATAACTTTTTGCATTGTAAATTTAAATTTAAATTGGAAAAAAATTTTGTAAAAATAAAAATAACATTTAATACTGGATTATATATTTCACTGTTCTTTCAAAGATAAATATATAAATATATATATATATAAAGAACACCTATTATATATATATATATATAACAATAAAGTCGTTTATATTGTATTCATATATATTTTACTTTTTAATTATAATCTCTATGTATTTCATGTATTTCATATGTATATACATCCTCAACACATCAAAAATTCACCTCCGTGTTAAAAAAAATACTTTTCTGTGATATTTTAAACTAAAAGTAAGTAATATCTGTTTCAATTCAAATTAATTAAACTTTAAATCAGGTAATTCTTCTCAAATAACATTTCAGAAAAGTATATTTTATTTTTAATTAAGAGGAAATATGTTCTGTTGACAGATTTGTCAATATGGATGAATTCATAGATTTTGCTGATAAAAAAAAATAGGAAAAAGAAAAAAAGGATTCCAAGAAATTTAAATTTGGTTTGAAATACAGCAAAGTATTTTGTTTATTTGAAATATTAAATCTAATCTATTAGTTTGAAATTAGAAAAATTTAGATTCAGGAATTTAAAAAACTTAAGATCGGATTTAGTGCCCCCCTCCCAACACTTAACATCTTATTTAGCACCTCTGCTTCACCTATCGTCAACCTTCTAAATTCCAACAGATTAACATAAGACATTTGTAAATCTTAAATTATATAGGAAATCCAACAGAGAGAATGAGGCTAAAAAAATTCTATTGCCCCAGTTTCCAAAGTGGAGAGACTTTCTGCATGAAAATATAAGCATTCATAAACCTGAATTTCAACTGGGATTGAAACAGCAATTGAAACAGTGCTGGTGAGAATGCAGACAAATGTTTTCATAGATAAATCAGTTTTTAAACCTGTATTCAAACTCTTTCTTTATTTTTAAGAGAACTGGTAACTTCTGCCAATACCTGTATTTTTTGTTTATTTATTTTTATTAAGCAATATAAGTGTTAATGCAGGTGAGAAAATAGATAGGATTTTGATTGGTTTGCTTTTTTATGACTTATCAACCATTTGTAGGTTATTTAAAGGCAGAAAATATTTTTAAATTGTAAGAATTTTCTTTTGGTGGGTGGATAATACTGATTTTTACTGTTGCAAGTTCTACTAATTAACCAATAACTTGGGAGAAAGAGAGGTGGATTCATACATTTTCTGAGGGTATTTGCATGTAGGTGAATATAAATAACACGATCGGAATTGAAACCAGGCTCTCTGATTAACAATTCCAGACTTTTATCCATTATGCTCTCTGCATATCAATGACAAACACCTGGTCACCTATCTAGCTAAACAATCGAAATTCTTAACTTCGGTGATCATATTATTTTTGGTGTTTTCAATGTGATATTTCATAAAATTCTGAATATAAAAAATCAAATTAAACCAAGTGTGCATTTTCAACAAACAAAACCAAAAATAAATCTATTTAGTAACATAGTTGCCATATACATAGTTTGGTAATCTCATAGTAATGGGAATGCCTGTACAAAGTTGACACTGAACTAGCCAACTGATCCTTGACACAAACTTGATATATATCATATCACAGTAGGAACTTTACATATTTCTTTAATAGTGACTGACATAAGGCCACAAATATAGGGCACACAATGAAGACTTAAAGTGTGATGGCTATATTATTATAGATAATTTATTTGGTCACAAAATGAAATATCTATGGCGTTTGAATTTTCAGATTAGTTTTTAATATTTGGTGGAATGTGTGATTTTTAAAAAATTGAATTAAAAATTTTAATTCAGTTTAATTTATGATAGTTAAAAAAAAAAAAAAGATGCATGCAAAAGTATATCTTACCTTTTTTTTGTTTGTAAATTATAACCCCAGAGAATACATTAAATGGTTGAAATATGATTTAAATTTTTAATAATAAAAATAAAGTTTGTGGTCATGCTTTTTACGAGGAAAAACTTGTGAATTGTTTTATGGATAGGCACCCAGCCCCACCTCCATAAGAGCCAAACACACCCACCCACAAGTTAAATTTGTCAACTGCTGATTTTTTAAAATTTTAATCTATTTTTCAAGATAAAATTCTAATTTTCACTTAATTCGATAAAAAAACGAAATAAGAGCAGACAATAAAATCTCCCAACCTAAAAAAAAAAATCCCTCCTGCCCCAAACCTCCCCCACATTATATAATATATAAAAACTACGTATTTGAATAAATAGGTGGCAGTTCTATTACCTGTCGTTGAATGACTCACCAACACTTATTTGTCCCAGGCGAATGGTTATTTGCGCTGTTTGTATACAGAAACAATGTGGTGGGTGGTTCTTCTTAGCTCCAGGTCAGGCTGGAGAGAAAAGGGGGTCACCATCTACGACAACACCTGGCAGGTAACCCATATAGTGAAACAAAGCGGTAGGCCTTGAAATATGGAAGTGTAGGTGGGTGAGAATATTTGATAGATAGGAATATGAGTCAGGGAAAAAGATGTAAAGAAGTAGAGAGAGAGAGAGAGAGATGAGAGAGAGAGGTGAGAGAGAGAGAGAGAGGTGAGAGGAAGAAAAAGAAGGTGAAGAAAAGTGAGAGAGTGATTTAATGAAAGAAAATGGTTTGCAAACAAAACTGATGCCATTATTTAATGTAGTAAGTTTGACTCTCACCAGATGAGAAAAGGGAGGGGTGGTGAAAATAAGAGGAAATGGAGGAAAAAGAAGAAGCAAAAATAAAAAGGAAGAAAAGTGAGAAAAAAAAAAGAGGAACAAGCAAAAAAGAAAAGGAAAGGAAAAAAATAAGGGGAGGGGAGAAAAAGGGGAGAAAAAAAGGGAAAAAGATAGGGAAAAGAGAAAAATAAAAAAGAAGGGAAAAGGAAAAAAAAAGGGACAAGTAAAAGAGGAGAAAAAAGAAGGCGAAATGAGAAAAACAAAGAAAATAATAGGGAATTGAGAAAAAAGAGAAAGTACGACAAAGGAGAAAAGAGAGGAAAGAAAGAAGAAAAAAGGAGAAAAGTTAAAACTAGCAAAAGAGTAGGGAAAAGGAAAAAGAAAAAGAAAAAATAAGAGAGAAAGGGAAAAGGGGAAAGTGTCTGTAACGGAAAGTGAAATGAGGGGGTAAAAAAAACAAAAAAAAAAAAACAAGAATTATTTTAACATTGCCAATCCTGGTTAGTTAAAATCTAAACGACTAGAAAAGTCTTAAAAAAATAAAGAAAAATAATACATTCATGTGGCAATCTGCATTTTAGCAAAATTTAAAATTCCTTTGGGTAATTTATTTTAAAAAAGTGGCCTGATTAAATTTCAAGTTTCTGTCGATTTTTGTGTATGTCTATTCACTTTTTTTTTAAAACTGTTTAAACTTTGTTTTTTTTTTTAAAGCTAGGATTTTCCTTCCTATGATTATTTCTATACCGAGATGATTGCCCCCTTTTTTGATACATTGCAAAAATTACTGATGTTAAAAGCAAAAAAGATATGACCCTGTAAGAAATTCTATCTCACTGCATTCCATCTTCTATTCTCCAGTTTTATTTTTTATCCCCAAAACCTCAGTCAACAGCCATTCAAAAGCAAGTGACGCGAATATTCCTATGTACAACGGAAAAAATAAAATGCTAAGAAGAAAAAAAAAAATCTACATATAAATGCATTTTCCACGTTGATGTATATTTTTAAAGGGTGGAGTTCTGTAAAAATATATCTTCTCGAAAACGTAATTTTATCTACTTATTTTTTAAAATCGAGAGTAAGAAAAAAAAATTGTCAGCAGACAATTGAAGTTGAGGTAAGCACTTAAAAAAATCAACTGAGTTCCAAACTAAAAAGGAAAAGTACAAAAATTGTTGGCCTTTTTAACTGTACGTCAAGATGATTAGAATGGAAGAAAGGACACACTATTTAAAAAATAGAAAGAACAAAGACAAAGGACAAGGAGAAGGGGGAAGGATGAGAGAAAAAGGGTGGAAGGATGAGAGAAAAGGAGGGAAGGACGAGAGAAAAGGGGAAGGAGAAGAAAGGCAGCAGGAGGAGAAAAGGACGAAGAGAAAAGGGGAGAAAGTGTGAAGAGAAAAGGGGGAGAAAGTGTGAAGAGAAAAGGGGGAGAAAGGATGAAGAGAAAAGGGGGAGAAAAGAGGGGGGGGAGAAAGGATGAGAAGGAGAAAAAGAAGAGATAAAAAATGATGAGAAATCGAAAAATGAGACACTGGCAGAAAGCAAACTGAAAAGAGAAAAGTGAGAGGGGGAGAGGAAAGAGAAAAAAGAGAGAGGGAAGAGAATGAGAGTGCGTGAGAAAGAAAAGAGAGAGAAAGAGAAAGAAAAGGAGGAAAGAGAAAAAGAAAGCAAGAGAATGATAAAAGTGAAGGAAAGAAAGAAGTGAAAGAAATAAAAGGAGAAAAGTGAAATGATGAAAAAGACAAAAAGACAGACAAAAGGAAAAAAGACCAAAGGAAAAAAAAAAAGACAGAATAAAAAGAAAAAGAAAAATGTGAGAAGAGCTAGAAAGAGAAGAAAAAAAAAGACCAAAAGAAAGATAGAGAGAGTGAGAGAAAGACAAAAAGGCTAGATTAACACTCAAAGCCAAGTTAGTCACTGTGACACAGTCAGTTTGAGAAGAGCTGTGGGTAGGGACACGGGGTTGGTGGACGTAGCAGTAATCAGACAGGAGTTAATAGGTGAGTAAGTGATGAAAAAAAAAAAAAAAAAAAAAAAAAATAGGCCAGTTAGGAAGGTGAAACAATGAGGTGAGAGAAGGAAAATTGTGTCAATAAGTCAGCACTTGCTGGGATGGCTCCAAAGTTACCATCACGAAAAATAGGTTAACACCAGTACCGGTTCATTTCTTATTGGGCATTTACAGCCTTGTGCCAGATCAAACTAAGTTTAACAAAGATGCAAGCAATCTGAACAGATTGATGACGCAGCTTTTGAAGGTACACGCCAGAAACAGTCCAATTTTCTTTCACTTTTTTTAATGGAGCCATCTTAACTTTCAGTGGCATCTTGTGTCTGTAAGATAATTTGGGTAACTTCAGATTTAATGGTTTCGATCAAGTGCCATGTTGATGAATCATATTACCATGAGATTAGATGCAGTAAGGACTTTATTGCAAGAGAAAAATGCTTACAAGGCAGAAAACACTTAAATAAAAATGACATAAAAAAAATCAATAAATATCGTTGTAAGGACTAGATTTTATATGTAGGTACTAGTATAATGGTTAGTGGCTTGGATACAAGAAATCAGCGATCAGAGTTCAAAATCTATCTGAGGGTGTTACATTTACTTTCATACAAATATTCTTGGGAAAGGCATGGATCCATAGGATCTTTTCTGTTAATTCACCCCAGATTCTCCCAGAGTGAGGCCCTTCCATTGCACTTCGGTTGAGTTGACATTTGCAACTGCCCCAAATGCAGGCGACTTGGGTGTGCTATTTCTAAGTGTTGGTTCATCATTCGTACTCACCCCAATAAATAACCAAGCCAAAAAAATTTTTTTTTTTAATTTTGCAAAATTCCTTGTAAGTACCTTGAATATCATTCACACTTACGAAATGTGAATAACTCTCTGATTTTTGGTAATTTTTCATTCTGAGTGTTGGAGGCAAGCTAAACAAATTTTGATTTAAAATTTATAATTTCAAAAGAGTGCCAAAAATTTAATAAAAAAAGAAAATGATTTAAAATTTATAATTTCTTGCAATGAATTAATATTCATGATGATTAACTTTACATTATTTGAGGTGAATTAAGAGAAAAAATCCGGATCCAAATCTTCTACTCCTATATAGGTGAGTTAAATAGCAGTGTCCTCTAGCTATGGTTGGCAACCAGCCTAGGAGGAAAACAACTCTAAATTTAAAACCCAGCCATCTGAAGCTGTACAAATTTTGGCACTTTTGTTGTAAAACAAAAACACAATAGATCTGCCAGGAATGATAAAATGTCTGACCACAATTTTGATAAAAAAAAAAAAAAGATACTCAGATCAAAGGAGAAAAGAATTAACTAAGACAAAAGTGCTCAGAGAGTGCCTTGATTGCTAAATTATCCACAGGCCCAGGCTCTTATAACATTTCACCATTCACGGCAGATCTATTATCTGAGAGTGGGATATCTAATTATCAAAGTGAAGGAAATGACAAAGTGAAGAAAACTAAGGAATCAAGAAAAAGAGTCAAAACATAAAAAAAAAAAAAAAAAACTAAATTAAAAAAAAAAAAGAAAGAAAAATAATTTAAAATTTACAATTCCCAGCATCTCTCGTTCGTGCACATGTGTAGTTGTGCAAACGTAAACAAATTTAATCCGAAAGGAGCATGTTTTTTACAGTCTTTCTTTCTTTCTTCGCAAGCCATTTTTACCTCTTTTTAACTTCATGTTTCTTTCTATATCATCTTGTCTGTGGTTCTGGGATGAGAACAGTAGCATACAGAAGTAGGGGGAGGACAGAGGATGCAACAACCCCAGATATCCATATCAGGAGGTCACCCAGTCAAACAATTAAATAAAAATTTAGTTTATACTTAATTTGAATAAACTGTTTATTTCATGTTTCATTTATTTTTACATATTTAAAATGTCTTCCTTTCTCAAATTTCTCACATTTTAAATATGTAAAAACAAATTAAGCATGAAATAAACACTTTAATAATATTTTTCTTATTCTTATTCTTTCAAACTCAGTAACCTCTTGTGTCTTAGTGGTTTTATTGCCTTGCTTGGGGGTGTAATGATTAAAAAAATTAATAAATAAAAAAAAGCAAGGGCCTGTTAACACCCTTTCTATGACATATAACTTGTTTGGTACTCACTAATAACGGTTCCCTTATTATTATTAAAAGTCCCATTCATTCTAACTACTGTCACAATGTCTTTCTACCCACTTATACCATTCTTCCCACCCATGGTACTACTACCATTACCGTCCCTTGTTGTGAAGTTGAGGAACACAATGTATTGAATGAAGAGAAAAACGAACAAATGTTTCTTTATTGTCATTTTGTTCAGTGATTACTTATCTTGCGGTATATCAGGATGGACTTTCTATTTGTAAAATGCATCTTTCATAGATTTTTATATTGTTCAAGTATTTTAAGAGGTTAGTGTCAGCGTAACCTCTTTCCTTTCCTCCTCCTCCTTCCTTTGATCTCATTCCTCCTACTGAAAACCGTTTTATTCATGGAACACCTTCCCTTATGACAACAGCATTTGGCTTTGGACTTTCCTTCCTCTGGTTGTTTTAAAGTTTATACCATATTACTCCTGCAATGCTTTTTTTTTTTTTAAAGTCTTCCTTTCTTTCTGTCTTTCAATCTTCCTGTCATTTTAAAGTTTATACTATCTTCATCTTGCAACCCGCACTGTTTTTTACAGTCTTTCTTTCTTTCTTCGCAAGCCATTTTTACCTCTTTTTAACTTCATGTTTCTTTCTATATCATCTTGTCTGTGGTTCTGGGATGAGAACAGTAGCATACAGAAGTAGGGGGAGGACAGAGGATGCAACAACCCCAGATATCCATATCAGGAGGTCACCCAGTCAAACAATTAAATAAAAATTTAGTTTATACTTAATTTGAATAAACTGTTTATTTCATGTTTCATTTATTTTTACATATTTAAAATGTCTTCCTTTCTCAAATTTCTCACATTTTAAATATGTAAAACAAATTAAAGATAAATAAACACTGTTCAAATTAAGTATTTATGTTAGACTTTGTATTCGTGTAAAAATTTCTCCTATAGTCAGCCCACCACCACGTGAGTCTTAGGGACATACAAACAAGGATTTAGCTTTGGGCATCAACAAACCTCTGCACATCACTGGATAACGAGTTGGCATTATGCATATTATTTACATTCAGACTATTGTCCTCATATTTGTTGTTATCACAATGTTTCGACCATTGTGGCCTCTGGCCTTCATCAGGTGCTTGTCGATTCGAGTAACCTTCAAGGAATTTCGAACTGAACCCTTTATTTAATCTACAGGGATAGATTGTTCTTGTTCCGCTTCACATACTCAAGAATATTTCATCTTGTTTCCACCAAGTTCAAGTAGACATTGTCCGGTTCGAGGATTGAACTCGCAATCACAAAATCCACAAACCAATGTTTCAATCCTCCAAGCTACTATTTTCATATCGTTATCTTTTTTCTTCTCTCTTCTATCGACATACTTCACTTGTCATGGGTACCACAGGCGAAGAACACTCAATGAGTGTTGAGATCAACAACATAATAATCTACGAGACTATTTTACTAACTTGTACTTCATGACGAGTCATCCAATTTTTCTGTTTTGAAGTTTTCCAGTAATGGAGCACTTTGTATCAGACAATGTTAATTTTGTTATGAAAGTTTTTCACAAGGTTGTTTTGAAAGTTATGGATTTTGTTTTCGTAATAAAAAATAGGTATATAATAATGTCCAAAATTTTCATTTGTATGAATTTCATGGAGATTCATATTTTGAACGCAATTAGTTCAAATACAGTAAAATGATCTTGCTAACCGAATATTTTGTTTCAAAATATATCATTAAATCATTTCCAAATGACGGTTCCATAGGATACAGGTCTATCATTATTGTTAGGACGAATATTTTTATAAAAAATTTCTGGTATTTTACTATAAAAATTTATTTTATACTTTTATTATAAATTGAGTTCATTTTTGTAAATATTTGAATCCTATAAAAAGAATGTTATCGATATAAAAATGTCTTAAAATAATTGTCCACCTTTGTCCATTTGCATAATTGCTATATATATATATAGTTTATCATTAAACAAAACGGGAAATTGGACTATCTATATATGACATGTTATATATGTCAACATAAATATTTCTTTGGTATTAATATAAATAGGGTTTTAAGACACACGAATGTCCTAAAGTCGGCAGCCCCACATTTGAAGGAAAAAGCCCAGACACATTCTGAAGGCATATTTCATTAAATAAAATTAAAACCAAACAACGGTTGATTCAAAATTTCAAAGGGACGAAAAATTAACCTGAAAAGGGGAACAGAAAGTGAAATTTAAGAATGTATTTTTCATGTGTTTTGATATCTATTACATGCCAACCGCAAATTGATTCTACTTTCACTTTGGAAGTTCCTTTAATTGAAATAGCAAAGTCACTAAAACTCGAAATATTTTTTATGTTAGATAGAGGGCAAAAAAGAAAGCAAAAGTTGGCTCAGGACGGTGAGACAATGAACAAAATGAGTAGTTCTTCAAGAAACAAAATCACAAGAATAAAAATGGGAACAAGCAGGAATAACTTTGGGGAAAATGATTATGAAAATGGTTTTTGTCATCAATAGCCGAAAGAATTTATAAACAGCAAATTTTATGAAATAGGAAATCCATCTGACCATTGAAAAGGACATAGCGAAGAAAAGGTGCTAGGATGCCATGCTAAAACTTGTCATGCAAATATTTAAGAAACCTGCAGCACTGACTTCAGTTAATAAAGGACATGGATGTTCCGACTAGCCAGATAAGAGTTGTAAAATTTCAAATTGCGACATTCAGATTAAAGACCCACTTCAAGTTCATCACCTTTCATAGCGGTGATATGCATTTGGTGTTTGGACAAAAACTGGAAGGATTAATAGGACTCTCAAATGTAAAATGAAACATCACAAACTTGAAAGAAATGTGATGGAATGAAAAATTCATTAATCGTAAAATATTTTGGAAAAAAAAAGGATACGGAGGGTATAATTGAGAGAGGAATTCTTTTCACATTGCAAATATCATATTTTGCTACGAATAACGAGAAAGAGACAAAACATATTTCCAT